CTCCGGACAGGCCCATCGCCGTGTTCTCCACTCATCGCACCATCCAACTCCATGAGCAGATCCCGGACTTCGCGTGCGATGTCGTGCATCTTCTGAATATCGGTTTCGGATTTGAGGTTGACGATAGGTCTGTTGTGCAATAACCCGACACTTGCATGCGCATAGTAGGCGGCGGTGGTGTCGTGTGCCGTGACAATTTCATCGAATCGGCGGACATATTCTGGTAGGTGCGCTATCGGCACTGCTGCATCTTCAACGAACCCCACGGGTTTGGCATCGCCTTTCATCCCCATTAGCAAACCGAGTCCAGCTTTCCGGGTCTCCCAGACACGCGATTTATCTTCGGCGGTGGAACAGCGCACGAACGCATAACCGAAACCGGCGCCTTTCAATGTCTTTTCAAGCTTTTCTAACTGCGACTCCAAATCCGCCTGAGTCTCACCGTAAAATTCGACAACGAGGAGCGCAGCGGGTTCGCCTTGGATGAAAGTAGTAAGTCGTGAAAATTCTAATGAATCTCGCGCCATATCAAGGATCGTTTTATCTATAAGTTCTACAGCAGTGGGGTTACATGCCAGGATGGGTTGCATTGCTTCCATAGACGCAATGAGGGATTCAAAATGGACGACACATAGCGCGGTCAGGTTGGGAATCGGAACGAGATTCACTGTCGCTTCAACAGTTGTTGCGAGTGTTCCCTCGGAACCGACGAGAATTTTTGTCAGGCTAAAGGGGTGATTTTCATCGCATCCGTCACGGCGATACGGTGTAACCTCTTTTGAACCGGCATCTGTAACAAACTCGTCAAGATTATAGCCTGCGACACGACGCAAGATACGCGGGTAACGTTTACGAATTTCTGCTTCGTTCTCCTCACAGATACGGCATAACTCGCGATAGATGTTTGCCTCTAATGTGTTTCCCTGTTTTTTAGTCTCTAATGTCTCAAGTGAGATAGGCGATACTGTGATTTCGTCAGCGTTGGAAAGCACCAAGTCAAGCGACATGACGTGATCGATGGTTTTGCCGTAGATGAGAGAATGCGAACCTGCGGAGTTATTGCCGATAGTGCCACCGACGTTCGCGCGACTGCTCGTGGCAACATCTGGTGCATACATCAAACCGTGTGGTTTTAACTTATGGTTCAACTCGTCTAAGACGATACCGGGCTGCACACGCGCCCAACGTTCAGCGACGTTTACCTCAAGCAGTTGATTCATGTATTTGGACATGTCCAATACGATAGCCTTACCGACGCTCTGTCCAGCGAGGCTTGTACCACCGCCGCGTGGAAGGACCGGGACGTTATGTTCTGAGGCAATTTGCACCGTCTTGATAATGTCTTGGCTGTCTTTCGGAATTACAACGCCTATCGGTTGTATTTGGTAAAGGCTTGCATCTGTACTGTAGAGTGCCTTAGAATACAGATCAAAACGCACCTCGCCTGCAAGTGTATTCGATAAATGTGCTTCAAGGGTTTCCGATGTGGAAGTGTCCATATTTGTTGTTCAAAGCGACCGTGTTCACAACCGCTGGAGGTTTCTAAAAAATCTTAAAAAATTTGACATTACTATCTAAATAAAGTATAATTAACCACACAATGCCCCTGTGATGGAATTTGGTATACATAGCAGGTTGAGGGCCTGTGCCTTAATTGGCATGCTGGTTCGAGTCCAGTCGGGGGCATCTTTATTGTTCCGTAACCTCCCCAAGCAGTTCTTGATACACTTGATAGGTCTGTTCTGCAATTGTCTCCCACGTAAAATTTTCGATACGGTCAAGCCCGCGCGCAACCAGATCATTTCGGAGGTGTACATCGTGTGCAATTCGATGTATCCGTTCCGCTAAAGCGTCCGTATCCGCTTCAGGAAAGACAAGCCCTGCGTCATCAATTACGTGCGGAATTTCGCCAGAATCTGAACCGATGACCGGGACTTCGCACGCCATTCCCTCGATAAGCACTCTACCAAAGAATTCAACCCATCCTGTTGTCGTCCGCGAAGGCAGGATGATCGTGTCCATACAATTAATATAGGCGGCGACCTCTTCGGGTGGCACCGCATCTATCCACACGATCTGTTCAGAAATGCCGAGGGTTTCCGCACTTTTTTGAAAAATCGGCTTATCTTCACCTTGCCCAACGATTAAAAGTTTATAGATGGGCGAGTTATCACGGTTTACAAGGTGTGCTAAGGCTTCAAAGAGTGTATCTATCCCTTTCATTTGAAGGAGCCTGCCGACATAACCGACTACAAAACAGTCACTGAGTCCCAATGAATCTCGCAGCTGACTGACATCCATTTTATAGAAATGACGCATATCAACGCCGTTTGGAAATGGGGTCTGTTCTCCAGTGTAGCCTCGTTCATTTAGAATTTTGTCCAGCATTTGCACTCAGCGGGAAGGCTTTATCCGTCTCTCGAAAGACAGTGCGTTCAATCCATACAGGCAATACACCAAACCGCTGCTTCGTCGGTATGCTCAGTGACGTGCGAAAAATGAAACGGCTGTTCGGACAATATTTCCGTTTCAAGCGAACCGTTTGTAGCGCGTTAAGACTCCACGCTTCCTCCTCTAAGTGAATAATATCCGGTTGGAAGTCCCTAAAGTGAGGCTTAATCCCACGGTGGTAGTAAAAACGGCTACCATAACCGGAGAATCGGATCGGGCACGGAAATTCTTCACACGGTGTGTCTGGTTCCGGTTCAAAGACAATATCTTGGAAGCTTTCATACCAACGCGTTGGTGTGATAACACGTAGTGTGACATCCGGGCGTTCCGCAATGAGCGCGAACTTTCGCCGGTACGGCTTCATAATGTAAGAATGAGAAAGGACTAAGACACGCAAGGTGCTAATTATATCGGTTTACTCAGAGTGTCCCGAGTCTGCTACAGACGACGGCGATGCTTCGTCTGACTCGTCATCCGTCACTGTAAAGGCGATCTCGGCACCGGTATCTGCCTCCTCTGTCTCATTTGATACAGCGAGGACATTCATTAAACCTTCAAGCCTCTCTTTGATTTCGGAACGTTCTTGAGAAGTGCCTAACCGTTCTAAGTCGAGTTCCTCCTCAAGTTCGCTATTATGGGTTTCGAGTTCTTGAATCTTTATGTCGCGTTGTAGGACATCGTTATTGAGACGCGCGATTTCAGCCTCAAGCTCCAGTTTCTCTGCTCTCAATTTCTGAACGGTCGAAATTGCAAGTTCAACATGGTCTTCCAAAAGCGATACAATACTCTGTTCAAATGATTCAGACATATTGTGGTCTCCTCCAAGGTCATTTTTAGTATCTTTAATCCAAGTCTCTACCTAAAATCAAAATAACGCATTCAATTATGTTAATCTAATAGACATTATAACGATTTAAGACCTTGTTGATCAAATTAACTTTTAGTAGATGTATATTTCACGTTGTCGTCTTTTAACGATTGCCGTTTACGAGTTTGTCCACATTTTTGCCATTTTAAGGAAAAATGTGTTTGTAGGATAGCGAAAAAATAGATGAACAAAAGTACACAATTAAACCATTATAATGTCTAATGTATACTGATATAATATAAAATTCTATTTATGCGTCAACATGACTGAATTATACTTTACTTTCTGTTACAATACAAATTAAAAATCTGTAGTAAAGGATACCGAATTTGCTAAAAACAAAACTTACCTAAGTTGTAGAGGTTAATTTCCCTATGACTTTAATATAAAAGTAAAAAGAAATCTCATGATTTTCAAGCGAGATGACCTCTGTACACCTACAACGCTTTAGGTTGAAACTTGGTTATCTTTATTAATGCGTGGTGGATTCACACTTTTCCCACAGCGGTAACGGTTGATTCAATAAGCGACAAATGCTCGACATCTGCCCAATTTGAACATTCATGAACGTAGTGAAACAGATACTGCTGGGCATACCCTACACTGTCCCCGAAATAACTGTGAGCGAATTCGCGTATTTCGCGATGTGTCGCGCGTCGGCGAAGATAAAGCGTCTCAAAAATCCGTTTTATCCAGACATCAATCGGCAATGCCGCGAGATGCCCAAGCGAAAACAGACAGATACAATCGGCGACCTTTTCGCGATACCGTTTCGACGCATTAATTCCTGCTTCGCTTCAAAGTACGGCATCTGTTTCATTGATGTGAGCGGAAGTTCACCGCTAACGACTGCTTGTGCGGTATCGCGAAGATAATTGGATCGGTAGCACAGTGCCGCATGCAAGAAGTTCCTCGTCTGTTGCTGTTGCGAGTGCGTCCGGACTCGGAAAACTGTAATCCACATATCCAGCAAGTGTCAAGTGTTCACCGAAACGTTCGGACAACCGACGGATAATACCACGAATTCGAGGGACGTTGTTGTTCTGCGATAAAATGAACGATGCCACCGTTTCCCAGAGTTCTTGGTTCAGAATGCGCATTCCCCAAAGTTTCTCAATCGCCCGATGCATATAGGCATCGTTGTTAACTTCACAAGAATTTTGGAATCGCGCCCCAATGTCAAGATAGTGACGGAGATATGACACGAAACGGGCCTCATCTTCGTCGGTAGAACTCTCAACACACACAAGTCGTTCCTTCGTGGAAGATTTGAGGATGCGCCCTTCTACAACACCGTAGAGGCATTATCTATTCGGTTCCATCGAAATGATTGTCCCGATTCTAAGGTATATTTCAGACTGAAATCTGTTGCGTTCTGAATTTGCATCGTGCGTCTTGCCGGGTTTTAATGAAGGTTTGTAGGCAATGCCCTTGATGTTACCTCTTGATGTTACCTATTATAAGTATATAGCAAATTACAAAAATTAGCAAATTTTTATTGCGTTGCGTAGGTTCTACTTCCCAAAGGTAAGTTCTATAATTTGACATTCATCGCGTTTGCGCGTATAATATATTAACACCTCCTCATAAATAATATGAGCATCTGTTAGCAGAATCAAACAGGAGACACCTTTAAGACATGATTATCTTTCTACGCGAAAAATTTATTGCGCAACTTTTTATGTGGATAATCGCTATTGTGTTTTTGGTCGGGACAGTCTTCCTCTACAGCAACACGCGCGGCGGAGATGGAGACCCCGAGGGAGAAGTCGTTCTCAAAATCAATAACGCAGAAGTTAAGCGCGGAGAGTTTGAAAGTGCTGTTGCCAACGCTATGGAATCTCAAAGGCAGAACCAACGGTTCGGCGCACCCGACAAGGAGCAGATACAAAAAAACGTGATTGATCGTTGGGTTCAACAAACTATTCTCGGAAGTGTGGATATTGGCGACGCGGAAGTAAAAAACTATATCCGAAGTGACGCGAGTCGGGTTGAAGAGTACAACCTCTACCAACAGTGGGGGGTAGCAGACCTCTATACCGACAATGTCCGTTTGCAACTCAGTACCGATGCGCTCCGAAATAGTGTTCAGGCTCTGGAATTGGTAACCGACACTGAAGCGGAACGAGCCTACCAACTTGAAGCGGATAAAGCGAAAATCAAGTTTATCGAATTTAAATACAACGACTACACCTCAATGATTGAGGTTGACGACGCAGCAGCGAAAGCCTATTTTGAGGAAAATCGGGATAACTATAAAGTTGAAGAACAGGTAAATGTCAAGTTTATCAAGGTGAATCCTGCGGATCTGGTTTCAGATGAAGATATTAGGACATATTACGAGGAAAATCAGAAAGAATTTACGACACCGGAAGCCGTTAAAGCACGCCACATTTTGAAAAAGTTCCCTGACAACGCGACGGACGAACAGAAGGCAGAAACCAAAACCGCCGCGGAAGAGCTGCTCAAAACCGTCAACGCAGAACTCGCTGCCGGCGCGGATTTCGCCGAACTCGCGAAAAAGCATTCGGAGGGTCCCTCCGGAGCACAAGGTGGTGCCTTGAGAGGCGGAAATCTGAAACTCCCACCGGGTGACTATTTCGCACGTGGCGATATGGTAAAACCTTTTGAAGAAGCAGCTTTTGATACCCTAAAACCCGGAGAAGTCAGCGGTTTGGTCGAAACCAGTTACGGGTATCATATTATCAAATTGGAGGAGAAGAAGTCGCCGGAAATACAACCTTTTGAGCAGGCACAATTTGAGATTGGACAAAAACTTGTTCAGGTGAGCGGCGTTGACAAGGCGAAAAAAGTTGCTGAGGACCTGTTGTTTGATATCGAAATTCAGGACTATGATAAGGCACTCGCACTTGAAGCGTATAAGCAACTTTCTCTCGCTGCGCTGGAAACAGGATTTTTCAGTCGAGATGCCACGACTATTCCGCAGATTGGCGCGACATGGGGCTATCAAGGTTTAGTGGATGAACTTTTTGATATGGAAGTCAACGTAAGCCAGGTGATTGAAGCAAAGAAACGAACTGGGCAGGAGGTGGAAGCCTATTTTGTCGCTACCATCCTTGATAAGAAACCTGCGGCTATTCCACCCTTTGAAGAGATAAAAAAAGAGGTGATTAAGGGAACAAGCAATATTGATGGGTTAGAAAAGAAAAGGCGAAGAACGCGCATTTGCGGATGCACAAAACTTGTTCAATCAACGCGGTGATGCCACATCTTTGGATACCTTGCTCGAAAAGTATAAAGCCCCTGAAGATTTAGCGGCAGACCGGCTCTCTGTCCAAGAGAGCAATCCGTTTTCGCTCAGCCCGACAAGCGATTACATCGCCGGTGTGGGAAATTCAGCGGAAACCATGTTTGCAGCGTTTCAAATGAAAGTCGCTGGTATCGCTGGTCCCTTTAAAGGCAACAACGGCGTTTTACATTATTCAGCTCGTTGAACGGGAAGAACCGGATGTTGAGGCGTTCAAAACGGATCCGGCGGAGAAAGCCCGGCACCGTCAAGCACTCATCCAAGCCAAAAAGCGAGAAGCATACTTGAACTGGTTCGCCGCACGCAAAGAGGCAAGCGAACTCTGGATACATCAAGATTATCGTTAGATATGCAGATTACTTTCAAGGTGCATCCAGAAACCCGAAATCACCAAAGCACGCAAGACCCGAATGAGACCCAACAACCCTACGCGCGAATGACGTTTGGGATGTTGGGTTTCGCTTTATAAATAAGGATAGGTAGCATCGGGCTGATAGTTTGGCAACAACGCATTGTGGGTTTGTCCCGCGATGAGACGTGTCCCATCGGTAAAGCCTTCCGGACGGTGACGGAGAATTTCGATCAGATGGTTCCGCCAAGGTGTTAGAAGCGTTTCCGCCTCGCTCAACCTCGCCAAATCGCATGTTTCATGTGGATCGTCCTGCAGATTGAAGAGGTGTTCTCGACCAGTTTGGGAATACCAGATGTACTTGTGGTGTCCGTCGGTCACATAGTGGTTCCCGTGACTGTAATCGTAACAGCCGGAGTGCTCACCGTGTAGGTAGTCCCGCACCCGGTCGGTATCGCCTTGCATGATGGGCAGTAGGCTTTTACCCGTGCAGGTGCTCGGTATCTCAACTCCAGCCGCGTCCAAAATAGTCGGCATGATGTCCTGTAGACCGACGGGACTTTGACAGACAGATTCTTGCGGGTAACCCCATTTTGCTGGTGCCCGCATTAGAAAAGGTACTCGTGCTGAGGCTTCATAGGGCCAGGTTTTGCGGTACAGGTTGTGATCACCGAGCATCTCACCGTGGTCAGATGTGAAAATGACCAAGCAATCCCTCAGTCCGCCAGCGGACTGGATCAGACGGCCGATCTGATCATCGATGAAATTGATCATCCATAATAGGCGGCACGTGCACAATGCATATCGTGCTCGTCGAGACAGATTTCCCAAGCGTTTGGATTCAGCCCTTTTTGAGCACCGTCAAATTCGGGTGCCCAGTCGCCGACCACAGGTGGAGGCAGATCTCGCTGAATGTAACGCTGGTAATAGTGTGCCGGTGGAGTCAGCGGGGGATGTGGGTCTATGAAAGAGATATTTAGAAAACAGGGGGACCGTCGGGTCGCGTTTCCGCAGAAAATTGAGGGAGCGATCGATACACCAGAAGGTGTGCATCTGTTCTTCGGGGAGATGATGTGGGCGACCGACCCATCCGTTGGCGGAGACACCGTGAGCCATGCCAGGATCAACGTCGTTCCGGTGGTAGTATTGCTGCAACCAATCGACGTAGTCGTTGTCATCTCCGCGAGTGGCATCCGCCAACTGGAGATGATCGAAGCCGTATCGCTTACGCGCTGGCATCAGATGCAGTTTGCCAATCATTTCGGTTTGATAACCGGCTGCGGACAATTCACCTGCCAAGGTATGCGGCGGGTTCCACTGTGCACCTCTAAATCCTACACCACCGTTGGCTGCAGGGCGCGGTGCCAGTCATCAGACTGCGGCGTGCCGGAATACAACTCGGACATTCAGCATACCCGCGGCGAAAATGCGTGCCGGTATGACCGATCCAGTCCAAGTTTGGTGTTTGTAGGCAGTTCGGTCCGTCGGGATCCAAGCCGAGACAGTCGCCGCGTTGTTGGTCAGTAGTAATTAACAGGATGTTCGGACGGGTATTAGCATCTCAAACTCCAGGTGGGAAAACATCAAACCTGTGACGCGACATTTTGTCGGAGCGAAGGCTCAAGTGGTAATTAATTATTAAGGATTTCGTAGAAGAAGTTGCGGCGTTTGGGGATATATCCGAGTTCCGATATAGTCCGTTCAATCTCCTCAATCGGCATGCAGTAGACTGTGCCTGCTTTGCTGACAACATTCTCTTCTATCATCGTGCCGCCCATGTCATTCGCGCCGAACTTTAGTGATAGCTGCCCAATTTTTGGACCTTGCGTCACCCAGGAGGATTGGAAGTTGTTAAAGTTGTCGAGGAATAATCGGGAAATCGCAAGGGTTTTGAGGTACTCAAAACTTCCAGCGGGTGGAATGTGTTCCATACGGGTGTTGGTAGGTTGCAGGGACCAGCAGATAAAAGCGGTAAACCCACCCGTCTCATCTTGCAAATCACGCAAGCGGACGAGGTGTTCAACACGTTCGGCATAACTTTCTACATGCCCATACATCATCGTCGCACTCGATTTGAGTCCAACGAGATGTCCTTGGCGCATGACTTCCAGCCATTCGTCAGCGGTGCATTTTTTGGGACTAATCTCATTGCGGGCATGGTCAGTGAGGATCTCCGCGCCGCCCCCCGGAATCGAATCAAGGCCAGCATCTTGCAAACGGATGAGCATTTCGCGCAACGACATACGGTTTATCTTGGCGAACCAATCCAACTCCGGTGGCGAAAACCCGTGGATATGAATGCGATAATTCGCCTTAATCCAGCGGAGCAGGTCTTCGTACCAGTCAAGCTTGAGTTTCGGGTGTAGTCCGCCCTGCATCAGAATCAACTCGCCACCGAGGTCGAGCGTCTCCTGTATCTTTTTTCCTAACTCATCGCGTTCCATGACATAAGCATCAGGATCCTGACGATGGCGGTAAAAAGCGCAGAAATCGCAATCAACATAGCACCAATTGGTATAGTTGATGTTCCGGTCAACGATGTACGTAACATAACCTTCAGGATGCTTCCGTTGCCGGATAACATCCGCCGCGTGCCCTAAAGCAAGGAGATCATGACTCTTGAAGAGTGTGAGGCAGTCGTCAAAGTCTAACCGTTCCCCCGCAAGCGATTTTTCGAGGATAGGCTGGATGTTTGTGTCCATTTAGGAATTCCTTCAGTCTCTAAAGCTAATACTTCAATTTTAACATTTATAAGTCAGTTTGTCAACTTTTCCGTTATTTTAATTTGACTTTTGAAAGAAATCGGGTATAATTATAATACGCTCGTCTAAATCTGTATTTATAATGCGGAGGATATAAATGAATGAAGTCGTTTACATATGAAAGACTGGTGAAAACAGTAAAATAAGTATCTGCAGTGTATATTGCCGCGAAGCGCGCCGAGATATAAATGCAAATGCTTACCCCTCGCTCCTTCAAACACGCAGAGAAAAAAAGAAGCCGGTTGCTATTGCAACACAAGTAATTTGATAACGGAAACTCCACTTTGAAAAGAGCGAAGTAAAGTTCCTGATTCCAAGACACCTTCCATTTTTACAGATGTTGAGGAACCAGGAGACGGAAGCGATATATTTGATGAAGAGATCCTTGACAGGAAAGCGATACGGAAGCGGTGGACGCGAGAGGGGCTATAGTTCTGATGAACTGTAGTGCTGAGATGCTTAGATATCGCTCCTATCAGAAAACTATCGCGAAAATGGAATCACCGAAAATACGGACTGGAAGCCTCGCTCTTTAGGGCGGGGAGGGAAGTCCCCTCTCGTGAATTAGACCCCGGCGTTTTTTATCAAAAAACTTGATAACCTGCTAAAATTGTGATATAATTAGTACAAGCACTATCGGTTGATATGTTCTTGGATGTCGTGGTTGCAGAACTCGTAGAGGCATTCCGACTTCGCCCGACTGGAGCGAAGTGAAATAACTCGCAGTCCTATACCGCTAAAGCGGGACCCGCAGGGTGGGAGATAAACCCGTCGCTCCCGAAACACCGAATGCTGAAAATAACAAAGTATACGCCTGCTGCGGGCGTTTGTGGAGAGCGTTGGGTTACCAACCTCTGTGAAACGAGAAATTGCCATGCTGTATGTGCCTGTAAGAACCCGAATTAACTTTCGTTGTTTGGCGCGCTCTTAACAGGTTCCTATGCTTTAGGATGGACTGGGTCATTTAGTTCTCCGATAAAAGTGAACGCTAAATCTCAACATACCCTTGTAAAGAGCGAACTCCGATTCACGACTTTCAAATCAAAACGGAAACCAAAAGACCAAAAACTAAATAGCCTTGTAGGTTGGGGTAGTTGACTTGACAATATTGAGTAAAGTGAGTATAATTATAAAGTGTTGCTGACGTGGCTCAATGGTAGAGCAAGTGATTTGTAATCACTAGGTTGGAGGTTCGATTCCTCTCGTCAGCTTTTTATTATGGGGGTATGCTAGAGCGGTCAAATAGGGCAGACTGTAAATCTGTTGGCTATGCCTACGGTGGTTCGAATCCATCTGCCCCCAATCTGCTCTTATACTGAGTAGAATCGTAGCGGAATCAGCCTTGGGAGCGGGTTTCCCACAAAAATCCAGATGGACGTGACGCAGTGATACGCTGCGTTATCACTTATGTTATGCGGGAGTAGCTCAGCTGGTAGAGCATTGGCCTTCCAAGCCATGTGTCGCGGGTTCGATTCCCGTCTCCCGCTTGTTGAAGTATTTTATTTTTTGCCGACGTAGCTCAGTCGGTAGAGCGCGTCCTTGGTAAGGACGAGGTCACCGGTTCAATTCCGGTCGTCGGCTCCACTCACTGAAAGTAGGGTTTTATTATGCCAAGAGACATTGTAACATTAGCATGTGATGTATGCAATCAGCGGAATTATGTAACAACTCGGAACCGCCGGACGCAGCAAAATCGATATGAACGGAAAAAATACTGCCGGTTCTGCCGAAAACATACACCTCATAAAGAAACACGATAGTTTTTTAGTCGGTGCAACGGGCAACACTGCCTTAATTGTTAAGTGAGCCTGTGGCACACTACAAAAATCTTACAGGCCAGTAGCTCCAACGGTAGAGCGTCGGTCTCCAAAACCGAATGTTGGGGGTTCAAATCCCTCCTGGCCTGCCTTTTATAATTTTATTATGATAACTCGCTTGAAAAAATATCTTCAGGGAATCCATCTGGAATGGCAGAAGGTGACCAAACCGGACGCCAAAGAGGTACGGGGAAGTACCATTACCGTCATTGTCGCCTCCGCCCTATTAGGGCTTTATATCGGGATAATCGATGGCAACTCCGCCTTCCCAGAATGGAAACACCCTTTATCTTGGATTTTTCTCGCAGCTCTTCCAATCGCTGTCTTTTTTATCGTGAAAAGTTGGGAAAACGAGTCACGAAGCGGTAGAGATGCCGAGGCTTCCATTGACGGAAACCGGAAGGTGATCGCGTCGGCTGTAGCCTGCATCCCTTTAATCGCTGTACTTGTAAGCCAATATGTCTTGAACACCTCACTTGAGGGCTTCGGTATGGCTTTTCTCAGAACTCTTTTTATTCGTAGTTAACGCTTTTGTACTTCAATAGCACTTCTAACGTACATGGGTGAATTAGAATATGAATGGATACTGGTACGTTGTTCAGATATACACCGGACATGAAAAAAAGGTTAAACTCACCCTCGACAACATGATCGCACGGGAAGAGTTGCAGGACGAGATTTTGCAGGTTAATGTCCCAGAGACCGAAGTGGTTGAGGTTAAGGACAGCCAGCGAAAGTTAGCGTCCGGCCCTCCTATCCGGGGTACGTCCTTGTTAATACCACCCATGAACTCGGCCCGCATGTTGAGAGCACGATTGGCCAAAGAAGTTGGTCACTCATCCAAGAAACGCCAGGAGTCATGAATTTCTTAGGGCCCGCCTCACACCCATCGCCTTTGAGTCCTGATGATGTTGAAACAATGCTCCAGATGTCGACTGAGGAAGAGGAAGTTGTACCAATTCCAGCAATGGAATACGAGATAGGTGATAAAGTTAAAGTGATAAACGGTCCGTTTAGTGGGTTCCCTGGCGAAATCGAAGGAATTGATATGGAACCACGGTTACGCCTCAGCATTTCGCTTTTGGTCGTTCAACCTCTGGTGATTTGGGCTTGCTTGAAGGGAAGAACTGATAAATTAATTAAACGGCGTTGTCTAAATACGGGATCGCGGTTGTGAGTTCATGTCTAATCTCATACGCCGCTTGATATAGGAACACACTTAGAATTCTCACAATCCACAATAGGGAAAACAATGGCAAAAAAGTAGCAGGTGAAGTTGTTACTCCAATTGGTTTCCGGACAGGCAACACCACAGCCGCCTGTTGGTCCAAGTCTCGCTCCGTATATGATTAATCTACAGGAGTTTATCAAATCTTTTAACGCCCAGACGCAGTATCAAACCGGCATGGTAGTAACAACCGTCATTACCTGTTATAGCGACAGGTCGTTTACGTTTAGCGTAAAATCGCCGCCCGCGGCAGTTTTACTCAAAGCCGCAGCGAAGATTGCGAAAGGCTCAGGTGAACCTAACCGAGACAAGGTTGCCTCTGTCACAATGGATCAAATCCGCGAGATTGCGCAGACGAAATTACCTGACTTAAATACAACAGATTTAGATGCTGCAATGCGGATGGTAGAAGGCAGCCGCTCGCAGTATGGGGCTTACAATTGGATAGCGAGGCTCAGTCGTATGACGAGGCGCATGACCCTTGCATACACATAAACTCGCTTTGGAACGGGGCTACAGAGATATGCCCCACTGACTATCGGAGAACAACATGGCGAAAAAAGGGAAGCGATACACCGAGATCAAAGAGCATGTGGATAGACTCGAGCTGTACACGGTAGATGAAGCGGTCTCGCTTGTGAAAAAAACGAGCGGCGCGAAGTTTGACGAGACAGTTGATCTCGCGTCACGCCTCGGCATCAATGCACAACATGCCGATCAGAATATCCGCGGCACCGTTACACTGCCACATGGCACAGGGAAATCAGTTCGTGTCGTCGTCTTCGCCGAAGGCGACCCCGCACGACAGGCTGAAGAAGCTGGCGCGGATTTCGTCGGAACAGATGAACTTGTTGATAAAATCGTTGACGGATGGCTTGATTTTGACGCAACAATCGCGACACCGGATCTGATGCGTAGTATTATGCCTAAACTTGGGCGGGTTCTCGGACCGAGAGGTTTGATGCCTAACGCCAAGGCTGGCACTGTCACAATGGATGTCGCTGCCACAATACAGAGTATCAAAGCAGGTCAAATCGAATATCGAGTAGAACGTGTGTCTGGTATCGTTCACGTCCCGATCGGCAAAACCTCCTTTGAGGAAGAGAGCATTAAAGGGAATCTTAATGTTGTAATGGGTGCACTCATCGCCGCTCGGCCGTCCTCCGTAAAAGGTAGATACCTTCGGAGTGTGGCTATCTCGGCAACGATGGGAGTCGGTATCCGGATAGACCCTCAACAGTTTGTATAAACGACACGGGATACGATATGGAAATAGCCTGTACAACTGAATAGAGTCGTAGAACGTAGGTGCCATCGGCTTAATTGCCTACCGAGGCTTGAATGGAATGGAAACAACGGGCGTGCTTTTCAAAGGGCATATCCAACCTTATTGCCCACTGTTGTTTTCTCTGTTTATGTGAGCCTCCAGGCACCTGGGGGCTTTTTGCATGCAATCGTATACCCCATTAACCTGTTTGTATGGAAACCGAAGCGACGTGATGCTGTTTCCATACAACCCACGCAGAAAGGAGCTGACACATGCCGAATCAGGCGAATGTTCAGCAAACAGAACAAATTCGTAAGATTTTTGACAGTGCCGACGTTGTTCTGCTGACAGACTTTCAAGGACTTACCGTCGCAGAAATTAACGAGCTACGGAATCAACTCCGAGCAGCAGATATCCGGTATAAGGTCTGTAAGAACACTTTAGTAAATGTCGTCGCTGAAGAGAGAGGCATTGAAGGGTTGACACCTTATCTCAAGGGAAATACAGCCCTCGCTACCGGCACAGATCCGGCGGCCTCTTCAAAAATCTTGCTCGCCTTTGGCGAGGAACACGAAAATTTTAAAATCAAAGGCGGGGTTCTCGGGACACGGGTGATTGACGCAGCGGGCGTTGAGGCACTTAAGGATATGCCGTCACGAGAAGTCCTCATCGCTAAGACCGTTGGACTTATCAGCGCACCCCTCATTGGACTTGTGCGAACCCTACATCAAGGGTCCCCCGCTAATGGGATAGTGAATGTACTTAGTGGAACAATACGTCAGGTAACCTCCGTACTCACACAGGTTGCCGAGCAGAAGAAAGAGGCGGAAAACGCCTAACGCTTATACTAAATATCACAAGGGGAACCGAGGCATTGTGTCTCTCTTTTCCTACACCGCTTGATCGGAAGATTCTAATCAAGTCAATTTAGTACTACTTATAGAAATTAGTACTACTTATAGAAATTAGTACTACTTATAGAAAGGATATAAACATGGCCGCAGATATGGAAAAAATGATTGAGGAAATTAGCAACATGACCGTTCTGGAACTTTCCGAACTGGTCAAAGCCTTAGAGGATAAATTCGGAGTCAGCGCATCAGCGGCACCCGCAATGGCTATGCCGGGCATGATGCCAGCCGCAGCTGGTGCCGCAGCTGGTGAAGAAGAAGCCGCAGCGGAAGAGAAAACCGAATTTGATGTGCAACTCAAAGAGTTCGGTGCCAACAAGATTCCGGTTATCAAAGAGGTTCGCTCCCTGACCGGACTCGGCTTGAAAGAAGCAAAAGAAAAAGTCGAATCCGCACCAGTCGTCATTCAAGAAGGTGTCTCTAAAGAGGATGCTGAGAAGGCGAAAGAGCAGCTCGAAGAACTTGGCGCAGTCGTCGAAATCATTTAGGTGATAAACACCGTTTACACCCAGACACCGCGTGATGAATAGGAAGCCCATTATGGTTTTGAGCATAGCGATTTGCTACGGCGAACTATAATGGGTTTCTGTTTTTTGTAAAAATAATCCGCGTAACGATAGCGCGGATTGAAACTGCCCTATTGAAAATTACCAAGTCATTACCAAGTCGCACCGATGTTTAGTATTCTCGACATTTTTTATCTTGTTTTCAGCCAACTTGCAGTCGGCGGGTTTGTTCTTCTCTTTTTAGTCCCAAAAGGATTAGTTGGGGCAAACTTCTATCGTTTGATGGGAAGCATCTACTTGCTTGTAAGCGGTTTATCGCGCTGTGCGGACTTGGCTCTCCATCGGCAACCTGTCACATTTCTCAATTTTTTCGGATTCTGGCAGAACCCCGAGTCCGTTTTGGTCATCTCCTTCGTTCTTATCCTCCTCATCTATACACTGAGTTGGTGGTTCAAAGTCCCGCTGCTCACGCGGCTCCTTTCCTTTGGTGGGGTAATTTGTGGGGCTACGTGGATCGTTTTGAGTGCTCAGCGTTATTCCGAAATTGTTCAACTCCCCGGTGAAATGTTTCTACTCCCGCTTCAATTCTTGACAGCCGCTGGTTACTGGGTGCTGTCCACAGCGGCATGTGGTTTGGGCATCTGGTACCTCGTGACACCTGATCTGCCAGTGATTTATCTGAAACGGTTTAATAGTGTATTACTCTATACCCTTTCAGGTATGGCACTGCTGCTCTGCCTGAACATTTTTTTCAGACAGCAATCCATGGATGTTGTCCCTTTTAACCTCTTCTACCAAATCATCTTCAGCATGCGGCTGTTTATAGGCATCGCTGGCACGTTGCTCCTCTATTTTATTACGTGGGACTGTTTACGCCCTAAATCTGTCGCCCGCGATGTGCTTGGCGCGACACGCGCTGCAACCGGTTTCCTTTTTATTGCCATTATTACAGTCTTTCTCGGCGAGTTTTGCAGCCGATTTTTGCTTTTGGAGATGCGGTTCATTTTCTAATCTTCAGGGTTTGCGTAAATTTCGAAATTAGCCCTTAGCCGACTGCTGCTGACTACCTTGCTGATGGCTGACTGCTGACTGCTAATATTGTGAATTTCGTTGTAATTTAAATTCAGACGTGCTAAAATAACTGCATCTATTAAAGACCTTTAGGAGGCACATAATGAAATCTCAAATTTTTTATGAACCCGAATCAATGAGCCCTCGAAGACCGGCCCATACCGCAAGCCGGTGATACTGACCTGTTAGTTCAGGTACGTTCGGTAGGCATCTGCGGTTCGGATGTCGCATATTATTTTGGTAACAGTTCGCTTGAAACAGACGACGGAAAAGGACCCCTTATCCTTGGGCACGAATTTACCGGCGAAGTCGTCGAAGTCGGCAGTGAAGCAGGAGCAACAGGTGGATTTAAAGTAGGGGACCGCGTTGTCGTCAATCCCGTCCAATCAAACCCGGACTCCTTTTGGAGCAAGAAAGGGTTGTCCAACCTGTGTCCTGAAAAACGTATCTTAGGTGTAGGTGTTGATGGCGGCTTCGCTGAGTACGCAGTCTCCGATTATCGCTGGACAGTCAAATTACCCGATAATGTTACATACAACCAAGGGGCGTTAACAGAACCCCTTGCGTGTGGACTCTATGCTGTCAACAATCTCAACGCTGAAGAAGGACAGACCGCCGTTGTCTTTGGACCGGGACCTATCGGTTTGATGATGGTGCAGGTATTAAAGAGCCGCGGCTTGAAAAATGTGCTGCTTGTCGGAACTCGCGATTATCGCTTGGATTGCGGTAAGGAACTCGGCGCAGATGTAGTCGTCAACGTCAGTGATACCAACTCTCCACACTACGTTGAAGACCTGGGGGGCTACAATTCAGGAACTCAATAACGGAGAACTGGCGGACCGCGCAATTACGGCTACCAGCTCACTTGACGCAATTCATACGGCATTAAAAGTTACCGGTAGGCATGCAACCGTCGTTATCTTCGGACTCCCCGGCGATACAGATGTGATGCAGGTGCCTATCCTTGATACCATCCTCATGGATAAAACTATCAGGTTCTCTTGGCTTGCACCCGATACATGGGAAGAGGCTGTTCAACTTATTTCGAGTGGCGATGTCAACATGGACAAAATCATCAGCCACGAGTTCTCTCTCGAATCGCTTGTTGAAGGGATAACAAAGGTCCGTAACCGCGAAGATAGTTGCACGAAGGGATTGATAAAGGTTTCTCCCTAACCGGTATCTAATATGGGTATCCCATTTTTCATCGTTTTTGTCCTTTCGATCGCTTTTCTATCGCTTGGGATAACTGGGTGGGGTGACTTTGTTTCGATAGAGTGGCCTGATCAGGACTCACTCGATGCAAATAGCGACACCGTGGCTGGCACCCCTTATCTCAGTTTACAAGCCAATTATTCGGCAGTCGGACGATGCGTTTCAGGGTTTCTACTATTTCTGGTGAGCCTTTATGTTATGGGTTTTCTCCTCTATCTTGAGGAGCGAGAGAGCGGTAGGATTATGAAAAATGTTAAGAGTTTTACCAAATTACGGCAGTTTCTCGAACGGCGTCAGAAGGGAAACGTTTCACAATGAGATCTCTCATAAGATTCTTCGTTAGTATACCGGCCAATGGCAACGACATCGGAGAATCTGAACGCGCGTTGAAGAGGTAACCCCTGTCAGCATGGAACAACAATTAAAAA